GTGGTGGAAAACAAACTCTCCAGTCTAAAACTATCGAGACCTGAAGAACGGATGTCTGCACTTTGTCACTGCGGAGCCCCCCCGAGCTCTGGAGGCCACTTCCCGCGGACCGGATATTTTTCGGACACTTTTTGACGGTCCCCCAGGGCCCAGCGAGGGCCCCCAGACGCCGAGAACGACCACGCATCTCTCGTCGGGAAGTCTGGGGGGAAACGCAGACGTCCAGCAATATGTGGAAAAGATCCCTCGCCTCCCAAGTTCGGGCAGGCGGCCAGCTTCGGTAGCACCCGCGCGGCGCGCGCGCGCGCCTTGGTGCGGCCCGCCACGCCAATCAGCGGGTTCGCCCGCGACACCTGGGGGCGCCGCTGAGGGGCGGCTTGGGCACGCGCGGATGGAGTGGAGCACGCGCACATCCACATCGACCGCCTGCGGCCAAGAACTCTTACTGAGCGTGCCGCGGCAGCGGCCCCAGCGACGCGTCATGCCCTGCGAGCTGATGGCGTGTCGCCCCGATCCAAGGAGCGGGAGGCTACTCGGACAGGCCTGCCGCATGCCTCTTTGCCCTTTGCCCTGTCGCTTCTTTCACACGGACGCTGCAGCCAAGACGATCAAGTTCGGTCCAACGTAAGAAGGAGGAGCAGCAGGAGGAGGAGGAGGAGAAGCAAAAGGAGGGAGGAGGAAGAAAAGCAAAAGGAGGGATGAGGAGGAGGAGGAGGCGGAGGAGGAGGCGGAAGAGGAGAAGCAAAAGGAGGAAGGAGGAGACGGAGGAGGAGGAGGTGGAGGAGAAGGAGGAGGAGGAGGACCCTCCCCTTGGCGCCTGGAACGCGCGCGCGACGGCCTCCTCCGACAGGCCCTTCAGCGCCTGGGAGTTCACCCGGCACCTTCGGGGAGGCCCGCCCGCACTCCCCCGCCGCCGCCGCCGCCCCCGCGCCCGCGCCCTCTGCCCTCTGAGGAGCAGCCTCCTCCCAGGAAGCCTCCCCCCCTCCCTGCCCCGCTGCGCGCGCCGCCGGAGAGGTGGAGGAGCACGTTCGGCAGCAGGGAGGCGGGGGCGGCGGGCTGCCTCGGCTGCGCTCTCGGCCTCTCGGCCCGTCGGCTGGAAGCCCGGGGCCCCCGCACCCCGTCAGGGGCCTGGCAGGGGCGGGGGGAAGGGGAGGCTCGTGGCCGTCCTCTGCCCCTGGCCTGCGGGAGGGGGCTCACCCTTCGGTGGCAGCTCACGGGAACCTCCCATACCCTCTTGCGGGCTCCCGCGGATCGACGCTGACCGACGCTAGTCGACGCGAACCGACGCTCATCGACGCTAACCGACGCTGATCGACGCTGGTGGACGCTAAATCGACGCTGCATCTGCGCAACCTCGGCGACTGCCAAACGCTGACCGACGCAGGTACACTCGTCAGACAACTCTGCGAGGGAATCCGGGGCTCAAATGCTCTGCTGCCGAATCGCCCCTTGAGCCCAGGGCACTTCATGGCCGGGTCGGTGGACAGCGTGCCGTCCAGGAACATGTCCAGGGACGCCATCGCGAGGCCCTCGCTGGCCTTGAACACCTCGCCTCGGGGAGGGTGGCGAAGGGGGCGCGCTGCGAGGGCAGCGGCTGCAGCGGTCGCGACAGCTGTGCGAGTGAGCATGCAGACGCGACCTTCGTCGCTGTAACGTGGGACACACAGAGACAAATTCTAATACTGTATGTCCTCCTTGGATGCGCGCGTCCGAGCCGAACATATAGTTTACCCATCTTGTAGTATATCATTTCCCGAGCGGTGCGGCCAGACAACGCCCGCCACGACACATACACTACAAATTTTCTCGGTGCGCGCGTCGCCCGTGGGGGGCGAAGAGCATATAGTATAAGTAGGTTGGGGTGACGGCGAAAACGAAGTCGAATCAATACTGTGGGCATGCTCGACAGAGCGGGACCTGCAACCGCTGCGCCACACAGCCAGAGCCCAGCCGGGGGCCAGACTGGCAACCGCGAAGCGTTGCACGGATGGCCCAGTCACACCTCCCCCAGAGACTCGCAGTGGCGCGCTTTACGCGTAGATGCTTCAAAGATCCAACATGGCTGACAGCTATCAAAATATGTGGAGCTGCTCCTTATATTGACACGGCCTCGCGAGACGTCTTCGCCCTACGAAGTGAAGCGGGGCAACCAACACATCGTTTGAACAAAGCCTCTGCAACCCTCGCTAGCGGCAGAGGCGGAGGAGCAAGGATGGCAGAAGGACGACGGCCAGGAGGAGGAGGAGGCCATCAATGGTGCCGTCCAAGACCCACAAACCACACCGGCAACCTGCTCGCCAGATAGAGCAAAAAGGCAACGGGCTTTACACCAGCTTGCAGCTTGCCGTTCAGCGGGAACGTCATGTACAAGATGAGCCCACGGAGACAAAGAGGACGCCGCGCAAGAGCTCAGAACTTCAACTGACCAATGTCAGATGAATGGCTGGTATTTGCCAGTCCTCACGCCCAGGGCGTCGGCGTGTAAAGATCTCCCAGCACCATCTCTTCGAGATGGTCTAGGCCGTAGATATCATGGTAGGGTGCCAGATGGCCAGAGATTGACAATCTGGAGCTGGAGCCTGATCATCCTCACGCGGGCCATTCCACGAGATTGGTCAAGCTGACAAGCTTCGGCCACCGCGCCGCGGCAAAGAGCTGAAAGACAGGGCCCCGTTTGGGGGGGGGCGGCAGAGGCGGTGTCGCAGTCGGGCGAACATGGCGAGGGCGCCTGCGACAACCACGACGGCTACAGCTGAGATTGATTGATTGGAGTGAACACGCGAGAGGGCGAAAGACCCTTCGGAGAGCCACATTGGCATAGGGTATCCTTCAATTGGCGGGGCTGGCCTACTAATCCAGCTCGACTGCAAAATCGGCCTACGAGCCGAAGGGCCAGCGCAGCCCCACCAACCAGCGCAGCGTGCACACGACGGCCGAAAGAAGAGGCCCGGGGGAGGAGAACGGGTACCTCAGCGGTGATGGACCGACCCTGAAGGGCCAACGTTTCCCGACTGGCACGCAACGAGGTGGGCGATTGCTGGCAGAACACATGTGCTGATGTTTGGTGTCCAATTTGGGTGACGGAAGAAGTACCTATACCGCTACTCCCAGCCCTCCCCTGGCCTGGGACGCCCTCCTCCTCCTCCGTCTCCTCTTCAATTCCTTGCCCATACAAATAATTTCTGCCTTTCGCACCCCGAAACCAGTTTTTGTAGGGCGGGCCGGGCGTTTCGCCTCAGGCTTCCTGACCACTGATGACTTTGAAGCTTCAAACTTGGCAAAAGTTTCACCGATGGAGGGCGGGTCGTTTCCAATATAGGGCTCTCGCTTCAGCGCCGCGTACATTCGTTTGCAAAATTTGGAAGACCTTCAAGGATTGAGGGCGGATCGTTTTCAAACTGTGGCTCTCGCCTTAGCGCCGCGCACATTTGTTTTAAACATGTGGAAGAGCTTCTCGCATTGAGGGCGGTTCCTTTTCAACATGTGGCGCTCGCCGTAGCGCCGCGCACATTAATTTGCAAGAAGTTCACGGGTTCCCATGATCACGTACCAGGAATCGTATTTTGGAAGGAGTCAGGATTATGCGGGTGAAACAGTTTCGTTCGTTCGCGGTGTGGAAGTCCCCAGGAATGGCGTTCTGGCACGATGCAGGATCGTCAAGACGCAACAGTCAGGTTGATCCGTGGCTTCGTAATCCCGAGAACAATGTTTTGGCATGCTTCAGGGTCTTCAAACGGTTGTCTTCCAACGAGGCAATTCCCTCAATGGAAATGAACCGTTGTAGCGGCCCTTGAAGAGGAAGCTTGGAGGGAGGGTTCATTCCAACTTCTTTGATGACTCTTGGATTTACACTGGTCCTCCTCCTCCTCCTCCTCCTCCTCTTCCTCTCGTCTCTGGCACCGCAACGTCAGAGCATTTCCGCTTAGTGGTTGGTGATGCTGTGGTCGGCATTTTGGGGTGAGTGCGCTTATTTCGACCAGACCTGGTGCCACGGAGGGGCCCTCTGACCCTCGTGGCCCGCGCCCTTGCCTCAGCGAGCGACGCGGCCGTCAGGCAGCCGCCGGAGGCAAGAGCCTAGACTCTCCTCCCTCCTGCTCTCGGAACCTTCAAGACGCGGGCAGGTCTGTCGCTCGACAAGAGCCGTCGTTCACTTCCGCGCAGCTTCCCTTTTCACCGCAGCGGGCGCGCGCGCACCCGCCGTCGCCGCGGCACCCCCTCGCAGTGCGAGCACGCAAACCTGGCTGGAGCAGGGAAGGAGCGGGGGAGGAACACCGAGCCGTTCCCTCCAGCTCCCCGAGGGCGAACAACAGGGGAGCCGGCTCTTAGGGATGACTAAGTATCGAGCCGGGATCGGCGGCACGTCGCTATTGGATACCTCCAAATGGACCCACCCCTCACGTTACCCCTCCTGCTCCCCCTCTCGCAATGCGAAAACGGAAACCTGGCTGGAGTTGGGAAGGAATGCGGGAGGCAAACAAACTCGTTCCCTCCTGCTTGACGCTTGACGCTGACGGCAGTGCCGTCATGATGTGACCGAGGCCATGTGGAGGATGGCAGTGCGGGGGGCCGACCGAATCTCTCAGTACGCAAAGCTATATACAAGACAAGAGGGAAAGCAAGGCCGTTCCCTCCTGCTCCGCCCCCTACCCGGTCCCAGACATCCGACGATACGATGTATCCGGTGCGCGGCCCTTTGAGCTCCCGATCCCTTGCCCGAGGGTAGTTCTTCGTCCCAGGGGGGCTAAGCTCGAGGAAACCCTCCCCGATTGAAAAAAAACACATCGTCGGAGATTTGGGAAGGAAGGAGCGCAAAGAAATCCCCTCCTGCCCCCCATCTCCCCGATCCCTCTGGGCCTCGCAGCGCCAGTCTCCTGATCTCCGGGCCAGTCTCGTTCTGGGCCCTATCCCAGGAAGCCCGCTGAAGTGAAGTGGCTCTGCTACCGCGCGCGGAGTGTTCCACAACGCTGCGATGGCTTAGTTATGCTGAGCGTGAGCCGCGCTCACCCGAGTAGGGTGTCCCTCTCAGGCAGGTAGTCCGCTCCGATCCGCTCCGATCCCTCCTCCGCGGGCGCGACATCTGGGGACGCTCTCTGGGACTCCTGTACACGTCAGTCGGAAAAAGTAGTTAAACACAAGTCATGAAGCAGGAAGGCGGATCAAGTAGATTGGGTTCGGGCCCTCCTCCAGAACAACAAAACACAGCAAAAGCATACCTTGAAGTAAGATTAGGTCGGGCATGTCCCCCTAGAGGCGGATTTTGAGCGACAAATGAAGAATAGTCAAATAGTGCTTCACAAGAGTCAAAAGTTGTAGAAACATCGCCCCAAGACGATGGCTTCACTATATTTGAATACTCCTCCTGGAGAGGGACAGGCCCGACTCAAAAGCGGGAAGGCGCTTCGAGCAGATTGGCACCTGGGAGCCCAAGAATACCTACACCTTCGACGACCGGCGTGCACAGCCAGGGCCAGGCCGGACGCGGGGGCCTTGGCTGCCCGAGCCGCTCCACCTTGCTTGCTTTGGCGGCGCCGGGCAGGCCGCAACGGCTAAGGTTAAGTCGGGCGTGTCCTCCTACGGGGGGATTTTGGAAGAAAAAAAAACATAGTCAACAAAATACCCCAACATGGTCAACAAATGCTACAACAATAGTCCCCTGACTATTTTTTTACAATTTTTGAATATTCCTCCTGTAGAGGGACAGGCCCAACTTATAGGACAGGCCCGACTTGAGGCTAAGGACCGGCCGAAGGTCGAAAAGGGACAGGCCGCCCCAGCACTCCTATAGCAGCATCGTTTATCCGACCCCCCTCCCCATCCCCGTCCCCTTCGAGACCCTCGCCAAGTGACCCCCCCGGTTGGGGATACACCCCTCGAAACCCGAAGGGGACGGCCTATATCCCCATCTATCGCAGGGCAAATCGGCCAGTGGGGCCCAGGCCACGCCGCCGGGGCTGGGGATCGGTTAAACTATACTCACTGTAGGCCCCCCCGACATGTTCTTGGCACAAGTGTGTGGGCTTATGACAAAGAGGATGTTCTCAGAACCTGTCGCAGAGGTAAGAACAAGCCAGTATCATCCAGAGGTGTTCGAAGAACATTTCGAGCAAATCGCAAAAGGTTCTTAGACCACTCTCTTGTGGTCTCGACGTCCTGGTGCCCCAGCGGGCAGCGGATATGGACATAGTTCAGCCCCCAGGGGCCAGAGTCTATCCATATCCACCCCCTGCCGAGGCCTCCGAAAATTGCTCCTCCAGGCGGTGGTCATATATATATATATATATATATATACAAATATGTATATAACAAAAAAAAACGCCTCGGATCGTGGGCCCACTGCCTGAGAAACGGCAAGTAGGGTGTAGGGGCACCCTTGGCAAGTGACTCGTCCTCGTGACGCGGTCTGACCTAGACGTGCGCGCTCCACTACTCGCAAAGTAACTACTCGCAAATGGCCTGGATACGCCGCGGGGGGTCTACGATCAATTATTTCAAAGTCGGCATCTGTTTTTCAGACGTTTGCGAGTAGGCACTTTGCGAATAGTGGAACGCACTCGGTGAATTTCAAGAGTTCCGGGCGGATTTATTGGATCGGTGCTGGGGACGCCCGCCCTGGCGAGCGCGCCAGGGCGGCGCCAGAGGCGCCGCTGGGGATGGGGCCAGAGCCGATGCAAGAAATCCACGCGGAGCTCCGAAACTTCACGCATGTGCCGTTTGCTGTTCTTCGAGACTCTGCCTCCCCGCTGCGGCCTCCAGCGGCCACGTACTGCCAGGCCGTGCCCGCCCCCGCGTCCGTGAGCGCCGAGACGGTGATGAGGTCGACCAGGCGGCGCGCCTGCGACGCTCCCGTGGGGCGGGGTGGACGGACGGACGGAAGGCCACGTCCCGTAGGACGGCCCTCGGGCTCGGGGGGGCGTGCCCCGGCGCCAATCGCCCAACGCCCGTAGAGCATGATGGTGCCTGTTGTTCCTGTCCTTCGGCATGGCAGTCTGGAGCGTCGCCGCCACACGAATGGAGGAAGCAACAGAAGAAGCCCACCGAAAACAGTGATCCTGCCTCGGGCGTGACGCGCCCCGCGCGCGGCAACCCCCGCACAGAGAATGTGCCCGTGCGCAAGTGGACCTCCGACGTGTCGCCGGGTCCGCCAGGGGCTGAAGCAACCTTCCCGTCCCCAGCTTCCTTGTACTACATGGACGGCACACGAATGGAGGAGGAAGAGGAGGGAGAAGGAGGAGGGAGGAGGATGGGATGCTGCGACTGAAAGCAATCTCGAAGGCCAGAGAGAGAGAGTGCGTCGCTCTGTCGGTCGTTCTGCCCCGGGACTTCCAGGCCGAGTAGCAGCTGTAGAGACAGGAGTTCCCGAAGGTGTTGATCGCGATATCAATGACAGATCGCAGCGCTCGCACGGACGATTGCACAATTTGAAGAGTTGTTCGTCCACGTAGGTTGCCTCTGTGGCTTCTTCTGTCAACTGCGGCTTCAGCGGACTGCCGAGCCAGGTACATAGTACCATGATTCAGCCTCTCATGACGTGCACATGTAGGGGTTGCTCAAGACATTGACGCGCTTCCTCAGCGCACCCTCGCGCACGCAACAATATGTAAGCCCAACTACATCGTTGGCGCAACAGGGGGCTGTAGCGATCACGCTGCACGCTTCTTCAACTGCGAGGCCCACAATGGCACGAGGACGCTGAATCAACGCGATAACCGCTAGGTCGACAGGCCAGCGGTCGAGGACGCCACCATTGCCGCGGATCTGCTCCGAGATGTTCCTCGCTGAGCGCACCCAGAACTCCGAATCATAGATTATGGCCAGCCTGGACAGTCCCCATCGTGAGCGACCATTACCTGCGTCAAGACAAAACAACCGTGGCGAACAAATCGGCTGTGCAAGGCGCGTGCCCCATCATGTCACGAATCGCGTGCGAATGCGATCAGTGTGCCTCCGCCCACCTCGCCGCTACCGTAATTGTTTGGTGCGGGCACTCGGTCCGTGCACGCTCGGATCGCATCCTTCGTAAGAGCCGTCGGGGCAACCACTCCTGTCTTCCAGCGAGTCGCGCCACCAATGCATGCTCATGCTCAGTACTGTCTCCCTCCCCCCCTTCCTCCTCCTCCTCCTCCTCCTCCTCCTCCTCAGACTCACACTCAGGACACAAGGCTATTGGGTTCGCAGCCTATCTTAGAAAAGGCAGAGACAAGGATACAATAAGAAAGCAGTAGAAGCGTTCGACACCAACAACAGCAAAGGGGCTAGCCCATGGGGGGGGCGCAGCTGAAAGAACGCAGCATGTGATACCCCGCGCAAGCGCCCTTAGAAGACACCTCCACAAGACCACCCCTGAGCCCGCTGTGTTCTGCTCCCCACTCTGTCCAGCTTTTGGTGATGGTGATCATCCCCTCCTCCATGTCTGGCCTCCTCCACGCACTGCCCAGGGCAGGTGGTTCATCGTTCATCCTGAGTGAGCTGCCTCTGAACTGCAGGGGGGACGGGGGGGTCAAAGTGACATGTAAGTAAACCTGCCTGAGGCCAAAATGAAGCAAGCACTCTCTCGAACAACACAAACACACACACACACACTTTGTGGCGTCGCTGCCCTGCGCGCGGCGTCAGGGCGTAGATCGGAAAACGGTGAAGCGCGCGCGTCTACGCCGGCCCGAGCATTCGAAGACCACTCAACACACACACACACACATACACTTTTCCCGTCGGCGGCTAGGCAGAATCACTTCGCTGGCGATAGGGCGGTGGTGTGCACGAAACGCGATTTAAGCCACAATGCAGGAGGGGGAGGGAGGAGGCGTCTGGCGGCGGCGGGAGGGAGGGGGAAGCCGGGCCCGCTCAGAGCGGGGCCAGGCGCGCGGCGGGGGCGTCGCCAGGGGGGACAGACACATACACACACATGTGCACACACACAGAAACACACATACAAATGCACACAAAACAATAAAACAATGGCAACAACAATGACAACAGCAACAACGACAGCAACAACAACAACAACAACAACAGCAACAACAACAACAACAACAACCACAACAACAACAACAACAAAAACAACAACAACAACAACAACAACAACAGCAACAACAACAAGTACAACAACAACAACCACAATCACAACAACAACACCAACAACAACAACGACAACAACAAACATCCACCAAGGAAGGGAGGATGAGGGATGAAAAGCCTGGATGCTAGAGGCAAGCAGACTGGGGATCTTCAATGGGCAAAACAATCATGCGTACTTATCCCCGGCCTCACGGGCTGGGCCCCTGGGCTGCGACCCCGCGAATACGAGGCGTTTTCGCGGCGATGCCCCGCGCGGAACGTGACCGTGCGACCGCGTGTATCCGCGCGATCGCGCCCCCGGAATCCAGACCGCGAGGGCGAGGATGCGGGATTACGCTCGCCGCTCGCGAGCCTTCTCGACCTTGTCGCACTTCCAGCTCGCCAGCAGCCCCGCCAGCTTGCCGTCCGGAAAGTGGCGCAGGCGCGAGTGCGGCGGCACCTGGCGGGGGCCGGCGCGCCGGGCTCACAAGAAAGGGGGGGGCAGCGCTCCGCACTCGGCGGTACAGCGCCGACCATGTGGAAGGCCCCAACCATACACCAGCACCGATCCTGGCCAGGATCACCCTGGGCCCGGGATCGGTGTATACGCCCTCCTGCCTTGGGCAAGAAGGCATATACACCGATTCTGGGCCCAAGGTGATCCTGGCCAGGATCGGTGTTGGTGTAGAGTTGGTGCCCTCAGATAGTGAGAAGCCGGCACCGCAAGAGGGCTCGCTCCGGAGCTTCTGTCAGGGAACGCCGGGAAACTCCTGCGAAGCTGCAGCTTGTCCCGGAAGGCCTTTTCTAACTGGCTCCCAATACGTGTGCCCGGAAGCTTTCCAGAAGCTCCTTCCCAGAGCTTCCAGGGCTCCCTCGAAGGACCTTCCAGAAGCTTCTGCTGCCTCGCTGTCCGAGTTCGGGCACCACATGTGCGCTCGGCGGTACATCGCCGATAGAGCGGCGATCGGCCCCCGATAGCGAGCCCGCAAGCCTCTGGGCCCAAAGCAGTTCCAAATGCGGCCCACAGGCCGGGCACGCTGATTTCGCTGCCGTCCCTGAAGTCTCCAGTGAACTGACATCGAGCGCACCCAGATCTCGGACGATCGAGGCTTGTTGATCTGGGCGTCTCCCCTGGAGTTCGGCACCCGTGGAGGCCGCTGCCGAGCAGCTGGGCCACCAAGACTGGATCCGGGACGACGCACGGCCCTCCAAAGGGAGAGGATCTGAGCAGCGTGTCAACGATCCCTGTCCCCCACGGGCGTGGCCCGGGCCCCACCGGCCGATCTGCCCCCCTGGATGGGGATAGTATAGGCTGTTTCCCCTTCGGGTTTCGAGGGGCAACTCCCCAACTGGGGCGGTGGGATGTGGTGGGGATCGGGACGGCCACGGGGATGGGGACAGGGATCGATTCAACGATACTGAGGGTCGCCTCTGAGGCCGCGCACTGCAAAAATGATATATCTTCGGATGTCCGGGCAGGCCCTGGGCGATAGCTCGGCACGGAGCGACCGCGGGCCGTGGCGCTCCTGGGCTCAGGGCCCGCAGGAATGGGGCGAAGGGGGGACCAAGGCGAACGCGTGTTTCTAGACGAGCGCGTTCCACTACTCGCAAAGTAGCTACTCGCAAATGGCCTGGATCCGCCGCGGGGGATCTACGATACATTACATCGAGGCAGACCCGTGTTCTTCGGGCGATTGCGAGTAGGCACGTTGCGAATAGTGGAACGCGGTCGGTTAGTTTTTCATGCTCGGGAACATGGTGTGCACGGCGGCGCCGTCGCGAAGTCACTTCTGTGCCAGGGAATCGGGACACGTGTTATTTTGCCCCCATCGTACTGAAACACCACATCCCAGAAGCAATTTCGAGCGCGTGGAAGAGTGTCGAAAGAGTGTCGACAAAGTGTCGAAACCGTGTCTCCCAGGGCCCGACACGTGAAAACCCTCGTGTTTTGGGGTACTTTTCTGGCGCCGGAAATTCCTTCTGGTGATCAAGGCTAATGTAGGCTGGAACAGCGTAAGACACGTGGTGAGTGTCCCCTGGAGCGCGCTTGCCCGCGCAGCGCGCCCTCCTCATAAGGTCAGGAATCGTTGAGACAAACCTCTCTGGGCGGTGCTGCTGCGAAGACGCAGCAACAGCAGCAGCAGCAGCAGCAGCCCGCTTTTGGGAAAACCAACAGATACTGATACCGCTGGTCCCTGGACCTCTCCTGGGGTGCGTTCTGACCAGAATTCCGAGGCGAATCCAACGGTGGCAACGAACATGGATACAGGTTGGCCAGAAGAAGTAGGTACAAAACATGAAGCAGGAAGGCGGATAGAGAATATTGGGCTCAGGCCCTCCCACATGAAGCAGGAAGGCGGATAGACAAAACATGAAGCAGGAAGGCGGATTAAAAAACACAGCAGCAGAGGCACATCGTTTCTGGAAGCAGGAGGGCGCTTCTGAAGTAGATTGGCATTGGGATCTGGGATATACCTTCTTTCGACGACCGATAGGCACAATCAAGACGGTTGGGAAAATCAGACGGTACCATTAAGTGGGCGGAAAAAAAGAATATTCAGAACATATTCCCAAAATGCCCCATAATACTCAACAGATCGTCTCCAGACTATGTTTGTACTACTTTGGGATATCCCTCCTGCAGAGGGACAGGCCCGACTTCAGGGCACCGATACCGCTGCTCCACGGACCCCTCCCGGGGGCGCGTTCTGACCAGGATGCCGAGGCGAACCCAACGGTGGCGACGAGGGCCGCCCATGGAGCGGGGACCGACCGTCCCGGCATTCCTGTAGGCCTACCTCGACATGTCCTTAGAACCCCCAGATTTCGAATAACAAAACCAATATTCACGGAACGTGAACACGATGTGTCAAAACAAGACGGTCCCAGGCAGAACTGTTCTACGAACGTCTATCGCGCAGACCGCAAAAGGTTCTAGTATAACATTTGTTTGGTGGGCCTATAAGCGAGCCAGGACGTTTCGCCACTGCTTGAGCCCACCCAAAAAGGGAGAAAGCCAACAAAAACAGGGAAGGGTAGATGAGGCATGGATACTTCCTGGGGAAACCAAAAAATACCGATACCGCTACTCCCCAGACCTCTCCCGGGGCGCGTTCTGACCAGGATCTCGAGCCGAATCTCCAGCGGTGGCGACGAGGGCCGCCCAGGAGGCCCAAGAAGGAAACCGAAAACCAGGAAAGGGTAGAAGAGGCATGGGCACCTCCTCCTCCCCCTCCTCCCCCTCCTCCTCCTCCCCCTCCTCCTCCTCCTCCGGTCAGCAGCAGCCCACCTCCGAGCCTCGCGCCACGCACCCCGCGCGCCGCCTTCGCCCCGCGGCCTCGCGCCGCCGCCCGTCACGGCGAGGCGCGCCCCCCCCCCCCCACCCGCAGCGCACCGCGGGCCCCTCCCGGGCCGGGGCAGCTCAGGGCGGCCCACGACCCCACCCCCCTTGGGGTTCGGTCGGGCGTGTCCCCCTCGCGGATTGTGGAGGACAGATAAAGCATAGTCAAAAAGGTACTCCCAAAATGGCTCCCCCAAAAAATCAAAACATCGTCCCCAGACTATTGTTTAACTGTTTTTGAATATTCCCCCTGTAGAGGGACAGGCCCGACTTAGCGCTGGGGCGAGGAGCCCACGACCCCACCCACTGGAGCGCGGAGCGCCACGAGGATGGGAGGGCACCCGCGGTGCACCCGCACCGCTCCCGGCCAGGACCAGCCTGTGAGTGTCGTTGAACCGATCCCAATCCCCAGCGGCGTGGCCTGGGCCCAGCTGGCCGATTTGCCCCCCTAGATGGGGATATAGGTCCTTCCCTTCGGGTTTCGAGGGGTGCATCCCCAACTGGGGGGGTCATTTGGTGGGGGGGTCTCGAAGGGGATGGGGATGAGGATGGGGACCAGTTCCGTCGCCGTCTTTTTGTTCCGAGTCTGGCTGCGGCCTCGATCCCGGAGCCGTTTTTCTCCATGCTTCGGTGATCTATTTCTTTGGTTGGCCGCTTTCCATTCTCAAGATCCAGATTCTGGAAAACCAAAAACTACGGATACCGCAACTACCCAGACCTCTCCTGGGGTGCGTTCTGACCAAAATGTCGAGGCGAATCCGGCGGTGACGACAAGGGCCTCCCGGGAGACCCTAAGAGGGAAAAACGATGGAAGGGTGGCAGGACGGGTACCTTCTCCTCCTCGGATATTCTTGGACATGCTTATTCATACGTGTGTATATGTATATATATATATATATATATAAATAGAAAACAAATACATAAATAAATACAAAAGTAAATAAATAAATATACATTATATCTAGGTGTGCACTAAAACAAGAAAAGCCCGGCCGTTGCCAAGAACCATCCAAGGGAGAGGAGCGCTCCGAGAGGGGTACCATCCGAGGGGGGGGGGGCCAGGACGCCGGAGGCGGCGCGAGGAGCGCTCCGAGAGGGGTACCATCCGAGGGGGGGGGGGGGGAGCGCCGGAGGCGGCGCCAGGGTGTCGAGGCTGCCCCTGACGACCCTGGGTGTCCGATTTTTGTTGCTGGTCGATGGGCTCGGTGGCGTCGGTGGGCTCGCGACGATCCCCTGCGTGCCCGGAGGGTCGGTGATGCTTGGCACTGGAGGAATCGCCCAGAAACTGCTCTCGGACAAGGCCCAGACCACCGAAATCGTGACACCTGAAATGAGGGCGGCCCGTGCTTCAGAGCGTCAAAGTGGACATCTGGAGGGCCTCGTGTCGCGCCTCGGGCACCGTCAGAACGAACAACCTGTTTGATCGGCGGCGAGCTGGATCCAGCACTGGCGGCGCTCACCAGGGAAGGTTTCTTCAGAAGGATGACACTTCTTGGAAGGCGCGGGCCTTGCATCTATGGACAAGGCCCGCGCCCACTAAGAAGCAGGGGTGCTTCTAAGAAGCCTCCCCCCCTCCACATGCCCCCCCTCTGTGAGTGGACGACAGCAGGCGGGCAGCTATCGGCGGGGCGCGTCGGGTCGGACATGGCGAGGGACGCGAAGCCAGTCCCACGGGGCGGGGTCGAGCGATCCGGGGCCCGGGCCACGAGAAGGTAATCGCATCGTGACGTGGGAGAGCGGGGTGCAGAGTCTTGCAAGAGAGCACTTTTTCGTTGCGGCTCGGCGGAGGCAATTCGCACGGGCGCTCGAGTCGTTGGGGGCGCACGACAAATGAACTGTCTGGCAGCAAGAGGGGCCGTGCGAGGAGGAGTGGACGCGGACAGGAGGGAGGGCTAGGGCACTCACACTGCAAGAAAACACATCGGGGATCTACTGACCCTGGTAAATCCAGACCTGGGTCAGTCAGGCTTTGCAACATCTGGCAAAATCCTGCAGGATCATGCGGGATCCCGCGCCCTAGCCCGGGTGTAGCCCTGGTCCTGCAGAATCCTGTAAGATCTCACGCTCTGGCTGACCCCCGTTTGCGTAGACCCCCGTCTCTTGAGCCCCGAACGCAGTCGATGCTGTGTGCAGGCCACGTCGGGCCTCCCAACTGTAGGGCCGATAACGAACTTCAGGGGACGCCGAGGCATTCCCGAGCCAGTGGCGCTCCTGGCTCCAGCGTCCCGACTGCCCTTCGGCCTGCCAGCAGGCGCGGCTGGAGCTTCCTCCCAAGACCTCCACAGCTTCTTTTGCAGGCCGACAGCTGTTCCACCCCGTGGCCGAACATTTTTCCCCCCAGAAGCTGCAAACTCAGAAACAAATGGGGTCTTGGCTGTTCAGCGAGTTGGAAATCTGGGTCCTCCTCCGGCTTGCTTCCACAATCTCACGACATCGGCGCCCGAATTGAGCGTCATGGCGCTACTAGCGGCCGACGAAACCGGCCCTGGGCCAACGCTTTTGGAACTTTTGGAATTCTGGGCCACCTGGACAACCCGAGACCCCCGACCGACCCGTTGGCAACCTTGGCGGTGCATGCAGGGTGCGACGTCCTCCTCTCCCCGGCAAGAACCTTCTCCTTCACCTCCTCCCATGCGGGGAGCCAGGGGGGAACCTCCTGATGGTGCGGTCCCCTGCTATGCGGAGCCACGCTCGAAATCTCTTACCGTGGACATCCTCGCTGAAGGAAGACCGCTGGCGGTGGCGGTGGTGGTGCCGCTTCTCCTCCCCCCGACACCCTGAGAGCTGCAAGCAGAGCACAAGCCAGCGCCATTCCTGGAGCGGCAGACTGCGAGGCCAGGAGCCGAAACCGTGGCGACGAGGGCACACGGATGCAAGGCATCGCCGAGCGACACCGAGCAGGAAATCGAGCCGAGCCCCTGCGATGTTTCCAGGGCGGCGGCGCCTGCAGGGTGGGGTAGCGGCGCCGGATGACCTCCTCCGTCGCCGCCACGGCGGCGGGCATCTTGGACTCGTCCACGGTGAAGAAGGCCAGGCCGCCCTCGACCCGTGGGGCGCGGCCCCGGCCCAAGATCGGCGACGACATGACTTTTCTCAGGACCTGGCGAGCCTTCCTCGATGTCGGCTTGCGGGGGCCCGCTGTGGGGCCCAGGGATCAGCAGACATTCTTCGATCGGCGGCGAGCTGGATCTAGCAGCCGGCGACCGGCCATCGACGGGGCGCGTCGGCGGCGCACCGGGCACGCCGGAAAGGGCAGGGCGGGGGGGAAGATGGGGCGGGCAGCGAGACGGCTGTAGCGCTCTCGACATTCGGACCATCAGGCATGGATCCATCGGGGGCGGCCAAGAGGGGGGCGTCCAAGAAGGGGGGGTGCTCATCATGGCGGGCGGCATGTGCGCGGCCCAGGGGGAAGCCGGGGACGCATTAAAACAACACGGGGCGCCATGAAATCTGTGGAAATATCATGGCTCCCGTCATGGTATCCACCCCCCCCTGGTCATCACCCCCCCCTTTGCCGCCCCCGACATCAGGCATGCATCCAGTAACGCCAAGCCCGGCTCCCGGGCAGGCGCCGGGACCTCCGGGGCCGCGCGCGGAGCAAGCCTCGCAGCCTCGGACGCGCGGGCCCCTGGCGGGGCCCGGCACGCAGAGGCCCTGCGCCGAGGCGCAGAGGAACCCATCACGGCTCGGGCACGGCTTCTCGGAGGTCCGCGCACGGACCTCGGAGAATCGAACAGGGACCGACCGTCCCGGCATTTCTGGAGGCCTCCCACGAATTTCTCTCAGAACCCAGAAATGTTCTAAGAGCAGAAACAATGTTCTTAGAGCATAAATCCGATGCGTTACAACGAGACAGACTCCGCCAGAAATGTTCTAAGAACATTTCGAGCAAACCACAAAAGGTACGCCAGGACGCTTCGTCACTGCTCGAGAGAAGCGGCGTATGCTCGTGCCGCTTGCCTGTGCATCGAAGGGGGGCCTCCTCCGCCTGCGGGGCAGCAGGGCCGCAGCACGTGCTGCACGCGGCCGCGGGCCGCCCCGGGTGCGCAGCAGCCCCGTGGCGTCGTGCTGCCCCGTCGGCGGGGGGACGCCACCGGCCAGGGAGCATGAGAGGGGAGGGGGCAAGAGCCCGTCGAGGTGGACGAAGGGGTCGTCGTACAGTCGGGCTGCGGAGATACGAGATCGTAGTTGGCAGCCAGCATGGGCCCCCAACAAAAACATGTTCCTGGTCATGCATGTTGTGCAGGCGGTGTGGAGCAATATGTGTGTGTTGCAGTCTATGGTATGCAAAGTATGTTTCGCAACCTATGTTGTGCAACCGATGCTGTGCAGTGAGAATGGTGCGACCCACGAGGTACAATGTATGCTGTGCCACATGTGTGGACCAATCAACGTGGTGCAATCGATGTGGTGCAATATGTGGTGCGCAGTCCTGCTGGTGTGCAATCAATTTTGTACATTGCATCTGGCGCGATCGCGATGGTGACAAAGACGATGGCGAGGCCAATGACAGCGCCGATGCTGATCACGCTGACGGCGATGACAGCGCCCTCGCGTCCGCGATGAAAGTTTGGGAGGGGGTTCGACATGCGCGCGGCCGACTCGCGAGAGCGGCCCGCACTGTGCTATTCAAAACGGCTCGCGCCCCCCCCCCCCAGCACGCGCGCAAATTGAATGAACATGGTAAGCGTGAGCGCGGTTGCACAACCATGTGATTTTCATATGTTTTTCTGGACACTTGAATGTGAAATCCTTACGACACCTGGGTTTTTCGAAAGATTTCGGCATGCGCGCGCGACGACGCACGCGAATGCACGTCGCCCCATTTGTTACAAAGGATTATTGCGACAACACGCGCGCGAGGACGTTCGAGCGATTCCGACATGCGCAAGCGAGAGGCCCTCTTGGTAGTAAGTTCTGAGCATGTGTTTGTTTGAAGGATATGGTTTTCCTGCGAATTCGCAAGAGCCCGAGCGCAAGCTTTTGTGATAATTCTCGTTGCGAAGCACTCGATCTTAGAATCCTTACGAAAACAACGGTTTTTGAAGGATTCCGGCACTCGCGCGCGACGACGCGCGCGTGTGCACTTCGTCCCATCTGATGCAAGATATTCTCAAACAAAACTTGATAATCGAGTGTGCGCGCATATGACTTTTTTGCACAGGATGACGGGGGGTACCGATAACGGCCTGCCTGGGAAAGTTTGAATTCATATGCAGGATGGAGAATGGGGCAGAATCGGGGGGGGGATCCGACGATTCTTCTAGAAAAGAGAATCTAGATTGTTCAGTATATGGTACGCAGATTATGGCTGCAATATATGTTGTTCAATCTATGTGGTGCAACAGATGTTGTGCAATCTATGATGTGCGATAGATGTGGCGCACCGCAATCTATGTGGAGCAATCCATATGGTAAAATCTATGTTGTGCGATATGTATATATATATATATATATATATATATATATATGTATCCGCCGGCCCCCTTGTGGGGCCACCAGGCTGTAGGCACGGGTTCGCAGTTTCCAGTACCAGTTGTAGCTTGTAGTTTCCAGTGTTACAGTTCTGCTTCTTGCTGGTTACTGTAACTAGTTGATTGACCGCGCGAGGGGGGGGAGGCCCAAACAGGATTTTCCAGCGTCCCCTGGGCGCGTTGTCTGAATTGCTGGGGGAGCTCGAAATCGACACCCCTCACGCAGATCCGCGGGGTCAGGGTCCAAAAACACAGGGATTTGCCACATTTCTGAAATTCGGTGCCACCCCTCACGCAGATCCGCGGGGTCAGGGTCCAAAAACACATGGGATTTGCCACATTTCTGAAATTCGGTGCCACCCCTCACGCAGATCCGCGGGGTCAGGGTCCAAAAACACAGGGATTTGCCACATTTCTGAAATTCGGTGCCACCCCTCACGCAGATCCGCGGGGTCAGGGTCCAAAAACACAAGGGATTTGCACATTTCTGAAATTCGGTGCCACCCCTCACGCAGATCCGCGGGGTCAGGGTCCAAAAACACATGGGATTTGCCACATTTCTGAAATTCGGTGCCACCCCTCACGCAGATCCGCGGGGTCAGGGTCCAAAAACACATGGGATTTGCCACATTTCTGAAATTCGGTGCCACCCCTCACGCAGATCCGCGGGGTCAGGGTCCAAAAACACATGGGATTTGCCACATTTCTGAAATTCGGTGCCACCCCTCACGCAGATCCGCGGGGTCAGGGTCCAAAAACACAGGGATTTGCCACATTTCTGAAATTCGGTGCCACCCCTACGCAGATCCGCGGGGTCAGGGTCCAAAAACACATGGGATTTGCCACATTTCTGAAATTCCAACCCATCACGCACATCTATCGCAAGGCGTGGTAACCCAAACTGCGAGAACTCCCTCGGCCCTTTCATCGCAAGGTGTGGTAACCAAGCCCTTAAACCATACACGTCTTACCAATCGCCAGGTGTGGTAACCCCTCTTGTGATCAGTTGGTTTTGCTGATTGCGACTCGGCTTCGCATGAAGTTTCGATACTGCTTCACGACAGCGCCAAGGCCTCATGACTTAGCTCTTCCATGGCCCATTCTCCGAGAGAGGGGGCCGGCGGCAGGGGGCGAAGCCCTTACGGATATATATATATATATATATATATATATATATATGTATATCTATATGTATATATGTATATATATATACATACATACATACATACATACATACATTCATACATACATACATACATACATACATACATATATATATATATATATATATATATATAGGTTGTTCAATCCATGTGGGGCGGCGACGGCGGCCACACGGCCACACAGCCGCCAGACCCAAGACACGGCCCAGACGACGGGCGGCGACGAGGCGGCGACGGGGCGGCGACGGCGGCCACACAGCCGCCAGACCGAAGACACAGCCCAGGCGACGGACGGCGACGAGGCGGCGACGGCGGCCGCACAGCCGCCAGACCGAAAACACGACCCGGCTCCTCAGAACAGAAATAAGAAGCCCTAAGTGCAAGCACTGCTTGGGGAATGAGACTCCGACGTGCCATGCCCAGCCACAAAATCCGACGGGACGGAGCCTGCAAGAGGCCCGAAAAACTCACAACCCGCAAAGTGGTTAGTGTGTGTTTCATGACGCGTTGGACCCTCATAGGGTTCGTGGTCCATGATGTTTCGAAGTGTAGGGACTTCCGAATGCTCTATCTCGAAAGAGCAAGGCTCTCCGAATGGAGACCAGATTCAGGCATCCATGCTTCAATATGTTATTCAGTCATTCCCTACTCCTCATCACTGTGCCTCATGCCTCTTCCTGCTTCTATTCTTTCCCTCCTCTCATCATCGCCGGCATTGGCCAGGATGCAGGAACGATTCTCTCAACGATGTCCGAAAACAGCCCTGCACCACAGGGCCCGTCGCTACGGAGCCCGATGGTGGTGCAGATCTGGGCTGCGCACAGGCGCGCAATCAAAAGCAAAAGTCGATGCCCGCGGCGGTCATTTGGACGTGAATGACTGGTGAGCATGAAGCATTGGACAAAAAAAAAAACACAACAGCAAAACAAGAAACGAGCGCCTGCACGAAGAAATCCTTCTTGCTTGGAGGGTGGCGAGGGAACGAGTGGTAAGCATGATCATGCGGGAAGGGCTCACTCCTATCCGCGTATGCGGGGGATGTGGGTCACCGGGGCCATCAGGGGATGAGTTCTGTCCAATTTCTGATTTGCCGCGCTTACGTGCTGTACGTCTGATGCTGCGGCGTTGGATCGGCCTTCACTTTGGTGGATGATTGCGCTGCTCTGGGCAATCCTCGGTGCCGAGGCGAACGATGCCACAGCGAATTCAACAACGACACCGACAGGAAGTCTTCATCCTCTTCTATCCTCGACGCCGCAGAAAGGATGGGGTATCGGGGTCGACGGCCCATCTCGTGATTGTCAACGGCGTTATCATCTTCTGTGGCTTCGCATCTCAGGGTTGGCTCGGGGGGGGGGGGGCACTTCTGAGAAGTTTACGCGGGGGATCTTGGCGGCGCGCACAGGGGGGCAGGGGGAGGAGGGAAGGCTTCTTAGAAGGAGGCCGCTTCTTGGAAGGCGTGGGCCTTGTCTGCAGATGTGGGGCCAGCACCGTCTAAGAAGCAGCCTTCTTCTGAGAAGCCTTCCCCCCTCCTCCTATAGTCGGCCTTGATTGGATAGGACACGCGAGAGGACACAAGACCCTTCCGAGGGCCACATCGCCATAGGAGTGTGAGCAGGCACGTGTCGCGAGGCACAGGACACAAGGGTACCCTTGAGCTGGCAGGGTCGACCTACTAATACGGGCCGACTGTACACCTCTATGCGCACCGCTCTCCTGGGCAGCCACATGCGAACCTCACCCCTAATTACTGGTCCAGACCCTGGTAGGGGACACAGGGCGCCCGTGGGGGCTCAGACACTGCGAGCGGGCACGACCAAAGCGAACCCCCCACCAGTGAAACACGCCACCACAAATGATGGGCGGCTGGGGTGGGTGCCAGAGACTGCTAGCTATACTCCCAGAATAGGGTGCAGGCGTCCAGGGAGATGCCTGCTTCCCCAGCTCGTACACCTTGAAGCACTGCTCGCGGACTTGCACCAGCTGCTCCAGCCCGGCTGCGCCTGGCGCGCAGTCGGCCGCGTTCTCAAGGGCACGTTCCGAGACGCTGGCTAAGATGCGGGCGATCGCGTTTGGAGATTCAAGAGAGGGCCGAAGACAAAGGAGGGGCCACAGCCATCCTGCTCGAATCTCCCGGGGAAGGATTTGAAATTTGAGGGACCGTGGACGATCATGCAACGAACCTGCCTGCCTTCCCGAAGGGGGACGATGGGATGGTGGATCGGATTAACGGGGCAAACATGGATCTGGAATCGGCGATGCATCGCCAGGAGATCGGCGATAGGCTGCCGATACCGAATCCCAAAGTTCCTGGACGGGGCGGGCTACTCGGTACCCCCGACATTCCGATTTTTGCTCACCACGTGGACCCTCAGAGGTCTGGACTCTGAAGCCCCCGGGCTGGCGTTTCATCCTGATTTTGCTTGTTCCCGATACCCAGGCCGGTCGGCAAGGGCCCCCAGCGGCAGAATTGTGAAAAACCTTCCATCGTGATGTTTTCGAGACGCGAGGAGGTTTGGGCATCAGGCCCGTCGGCGACAAATGGGCGGTTGGGGTCGGTGCATCTCCCCTTGGGCATACCCCTCTACCGCTGCCCTGGAGGCCTCAAGCGGCCTGATCCTACCAATCTGCAAAGGGCTCCGGGACTCTTCCGACTCCCACCACTCTCGCACGCGCCTCGCGCTAGCGCAGGCTGCGCTTCTCCGAGTGGCCTCGTGAGGGCCCGAGCTGGGCCCTCATGTGGGAGGCTCAGGCACCAACACCAAAGTCGGCGGCTGCCTCCACCGGAGGAAGATCCCAACCTCGGCGAGGGCTGCACTGCTCGGGCTTTCCGAGTGGCCGAGAGATCACCACCATCAAAGAGGGTCTCCGGCCACGGCGCGCCCAGGCCACAACACACAGGTTCCACCAATCGAAGCTGAGGCGCGGCTCCACGACGCGAGCCCCTCCTGAGCACAAAGCGGCCCTCACTTCAGCGTCTTGACTCTGCAGGGCCACTTCCCTGCAGTGCTCGATTCCCCCAGCATGAAGGCCCAGAGTGAAGCGTCCGGCGTGCTGAGCTCCCCCCCCCCCCTTCGCCACGAGGGGTGCCTGACTTGCGCATGCGTCGACAGTGCGGAGAAGCTCGTCGTCCCCGCCAGCATTCACGTGGCCGTCGCAAAGGGGCCCGCGGGCACTCAGCGGCGCGCGCGGATCCCGTGTGGAAGCATTTTCTGGAAATGTTGAAATGTTGAAGCACCGATGGTTTCCCAAGAATTCCCAATTTGAAAATCGATGCTGCGAAACCATGTTATTGTTAATTGTTGTGGACACTCCATTTTGAAATCCTTCCGAAACCGAAGGTTTTTGAAGGATATCGGCATGCGCGCGCGACGACGCGCGCGTGTGCATTTCGTCACATGTTTTGCTAAGAATTATTGGAAACTGCTGATTTGTGATAAACAAGTGTGCGCGCATAATTTTTGGGGAAGAAGATGGCGTGGGGGGGTCGAACCCGCCTTGGCTGGGATGGTACGGATTCACATTCAGGATGGACGTTGGGCCATAATCAAATGTAATTTGCAACAAAAAAGGTGCACCGATAAAGCTGGGAGGGGGGAAGGGGGGTAGAGTCTATTTTTTTAGCAAGGATAATACATGTGTGAGTTCTGCTATGTGAGCTATGCGGTGTAAGCAATGTCGTACAATACATGTGATATGGCCCATGTGGTGTGAGCTGGTTATGTGGTACAATCTAAATGGTGTGAGCTATGTAGTGTGCGCACGAGGCGACCACGAGGACTGGCGGGAAAGTGGCGAAACCTCGCAAGGCCCACCCAGCGCGCGAGGCGCCCACGAGGCGGCTGCGGGCAGCAACGTGGCGAAACCTTGCGGGACCCACCCAACGCAAGAGGCGGCCACGAGGAGGCTGCGGGCGATACATATCTATATATATATACACACACACCACATGCATCTATACAGACGTTATTCAAACACGGGACATGTGCTTGTCGCTGGCGGGCGATACGCCCATCCACTGACTTGGCTATGCCGCGCGCGAGGTGCTGGCTCCGCCAGGGTGGGCTCGCGGGTGGAGAGAGCGCGAGATAGCATCACAGCCGAGAGCAGGCGAATAGATTCTCGAGGGGGCGAGGCGATTCTCGACTCGGAGGGGGGGATGAGGAGGAAGGGAAGCAGAGGGCGGAAGACGTCCAAGTCACCAACTGCTGGCATAGAACACGAGAAATAATGAAAGCTCCTTCTCCTCCTCCTCCTCCTCCTCGGCCCCCCGCCGCTCCGCCTCATGCTCCCAGAATTCGAGCAGGGACCGACCGTCCCGGCATTCCTACAGTCCTACCACGACATGCTTTTAGAACCCGAATATGTTCTAAGAAAAAACAATGTTCGTAGAACATAAACCCGATGTGATAAAACAAGACAGACTCCGCCAGAAATGTTCGAATAGCATTTCGTGGGAACCACAAATGGTTCTTAGAACGTTGTTTGGTAGGGCTGCAGGCGAGCCAGAACGCTTCGCCACTGCTTGACAGAAGGGGGGCGCGATAACGCTTCCAGGGAGGGGGGGAGGCGGAGGAAGGGGGGCGAGGAGGCGGGGAGAGCGGGAGCCCCGCCCGCCGAGCAGCCCCACCAGCGCCTCCCACGGCCTTGCCCCCCCAATGGTATCCGCTGGCGATCTTCGCGTTCAGCTCCACCATCATGCTCTCCTCCCCGCGCGCGCCGGCGCGGCGGCGACCCAGGCCTCCAACAGGCTCGAGAAACAACAAAAAGCAGAGTCATGTCGACATCGTTGGCCTCCTGGGGCCGCTTTCTGCCCTGGGGCCATCGTATCTTTCTGTTTCGAGCGATCCCCACCGAAACCTTCGGCATTGACTGACGGTGCGCACGTCGCGCTTGACATGATATTGCATGTTATGTGCGTTGCTACTGTGCTGGATGTGGTACGTTCTGCCATGGTACGTTATGGGGTGGCATGTTGGGTCATATTACGTTATGGTATGACAAGACATGCCACGTTATGCTGTTTGATGTGATGCTCTGTTGTGATTGTATCATGCTATGTGGGATGATCATGTCTGTCATGTTATGTGGTGTGTTGTGCCACTATGACACAAAGCTGCAATGGTGTAACATATTGTGCCGCGCTTTGTCGCATTATGATGTATAATCTGTACTACGATGCTATACAGCATGTTATCTGTGCTGTGATGATGTACTATGTTGCGGTGTGGTCTGCCATGTTGTGTTGTGGCATGACCATGGTTGCCTTGCAATGGTATGATGTGGCCTGTTGTGTTATGTGATGAACGCTCAAATGTGGCATAACATGCGTTGGTATGCTGTACTGTGTAATTGGTATGCCACATTAATAAATGAGGATATGGCATGATGTGTGCTGACACTGTCAATTATGCGATGTTGTCGCATGGTATGCTTGCGTTGTTAGAATAATGCCATGCTCTGTGCTGTGATACCGTGCTATGGTATGCACTGGTCTGCCATGGTGTGTTATGCTACGATATGTAACGCCCTGATCTGGTATGTAACGATCAGAGCTAGGTGGTGTGCAGTTATGCTCTGTTATGCCATAGCGTTAGTTTTGTGCTGAATGATGTTCTGCTATGTTATAATACCGTTCTGTCATGGTACGAGTTGTCGGCGCGAGGCGGGACACTCGGGGACACTCGGTTGACCAAGGGATCTGGCGGCCGCGGTATGCAGAGTGGCGCGAGGCCGGACACTCGGGGACACTCGGGGACACTCGGGGGACCTGGGGATCCGGCGGCCGCGATATGCAGAGTGGGCGAGTCGGCGCGAGGCGGGACAATCGGGGACACTCGGGGGACCTGGGGATCTGGCGGCCACAATATGCAGAGCGTCGCCAGGCGGGGCTCACGGGGACACTCGGGAGACCTGGGGATGTAACCGCCGCAGTGTGCAGAGTGGACGGGTCGGGAGCTCCGTTCTTAAAATCCAACGTCTTCAGCCTGTCGGGTGGGGATAAACGATCCAGGAATACAAAGCTGGTCGCGTGGAGGGGTCAATATGCCCAGGCGCCTCGACACGCAGAAGAACAATGCATCTCAAGTCCCGGTAAAACACGGCCGTTCGAAGGTCGCCCCTTCCTGGCATGCTGGAGAGGAGTCCCGGGGGCAACGGGTCCTGTGTACCATTGGGCGTCCCCTGGGTTGCCATCCAGAATCGCTTCCTGACGGTCCTCCTGAAAATTACAAAAAAAAAAAACTCAGGACCTTCACGCGAGGCTTGGTGACCCCAATCCCCGACACTCTGGGACTTTCGACAGGACGGAACATGCAGGGCCCAAGTCTTGGATATACGATCGGGGGGGTCGTCCATCCTCGACTCGATGGTGGTGCGTGCGAGTAGCCTCCTGGGGGTGTATCCCCGAGTCCCCCCCTTTTGCCAACGGCCAGCTTTGGGAGGGACCTCGGGGATTGGGGGAGAGGAATCGCTGCGCCTTCGTTTGAAAAGCAAGGAGGGCGTTTTCGTCGACCAATCTCCGACTCTTCGGTCTTGATTCGGCAAAGCCGATCTAAAAACGGCATTTGAGACAACTGGTATCAGACATGTGGCATTGTGATGTTTACAAAACGCAGTGAGCACGCATTGGGCAAGGAAAGGAAAATAACAGGCGGGCAGTGGCATGACTTCGCTCAGACACCATGACAAAACTGCATCCAACACAGAAAACTGAAGTTGGCGTAGAAAGCAGGGGGAGAGGGAGGCAACAAACGCCGCCAGCGTTCGTAATATCATGTAAGATCCGGTCCCCTTCCCCCAACTGGGTGCAGCTACCAACTAACCACGAACATCAACCATGTCATTCGAAATTATGCAGTGGCACCCTGAATCCTCGCAACGCATCCCACACTTGGAGGCAATTCCTCGAAGATTTTCGTGGGGACCGAACGTGGCTAACGCCCGATTCAATACGCGGCATTCTGATGGATTAACGCCCATACCCCGCAATATTCGTCAGGACTTATCGGGGTTGGACCAGATGTCGACCAAAGACATAACCAGGATCATTTCAGGTTTCAACCTCCCAGGAACTGCAACCGCGCCCACTCGAGGAGACGACCCATTCAGGCCCCCCTCCGAAACGATAGGTGGCAGCATGCCAAAGCCGAAGTTGGACCTCACGGCCCATAGCGAAGGTTTCGACGGGCCGAGAGGCAGCTACTCATCCCTGTGGTCCTCTTTGACTTTATTGGATGCGGCCACCGGGCGGCCATAGGGGATTCAACACTGCAGCTTTGAAGACACCTCATCGAGCAGGGTCCGTTACTGGTAGAAATGGAACCAAGAGGAGAGCCGCCGAGGATACGCAGTAAATCCTGGAAGCTTGCTGCATGAAGCATAAACAGCTGGATACGTATGTGTTCTGCCGCAGCGACGCGAGAGGACCACAGAGCGTCTGGAAACTTGCCGGGCCGCGCCGAGACAGATGCCGGGCCCATCGGGGCTCGGCGACATCCGGCACCCCTGCTGCCATCTCGAGCGCCATCCCTGCCGCTCTCCGTCCTGAGCACGGCGACCGCACGATCGCTCGGCAAGGGCAGGCACAGGAAGAACGCACACTCCCCCCCCGTCGGCTCCACGCAGGAGTGACCCTGGGCGAGAGTGACCTTTGGTGAGCGGCTTCAGGGAGGGCGCGCGGGAGCCACACCCAGGCGCAGGCAATCTCCTGCTGACCCATCACGCCCGAGGTCACTGAGGCGAAGGGCCACTCTGATACGTGTCGTCGACCTCGTCTACTGGGACAACTGGCCCTCCAGCCCTGGCGGATGACCTGGCACCCCTGGCGGGTGACCTGGCGCCCCTGGCGGGTGACCTGGGATAGAAGGCCCTCGCGGGGGGAGGCACGCGACGAGGATCCGCTGACAGAGGCGCCAGTGGCGCGGCGACGGCGCGGCAAACGCGAGGCAGCGAATTCGGCCACCGCAGCGGCAGTCTGGCTATCGCGTGCGGGGGATGGGGTGAGATATAGCGGTCTTGAAACCGCTGCGATGAACTCACCTCCAGCTCATCCAGGTCTGATCTGGTTGCGGGTGGGGGTGAACGACTCATTGGGGTCCGAAACCAAACAAATGGGTCCGATAGGGGCAAACCAAAGCTCAACCATGCTTTCCTACAGTGGGACGCTCTGATAGGGGATGGGGATAGAGGCGAGCACGCGCTGTAGTGAGGGAGGGACGGCCAGGTCCGAGCGTGGAGAAAAGAGGGGCCGAATGGGTGGGAGGGACGGGCGGAGGGAGGCGAGGAGGAGCGGATGGAGCAGACTCGCAGCACGCAAGCCGCGGCTTCTCGCGCCGCGAGGCACCCGCCCTGTCGGCGGAGCCTTGATGTAGTCGTTCGGAAGGTCCACGCGCTGCATCACGGTGATGCCTGCACCCGTGATGGCCTCGTACTTCTCGTTGCTGGGAAGTTCCCCCCCATCGACGAGCGGCGCGAGCGGGGAGGAGGAGGGCAGAGAGGCGGAGGAGCACCAGCGGGAGAAGCAGCTGGAGGCAGAAGGCGAGGAGGCGGGGGAAGTGCTGTCTGGCTGGGCAAGAACGGGCTCCACACCAATCCCGGGATGTCCAGGGGGGTCTCAGTGGTGTCTTCGGTGGCCGTGGGTGCACGAGTCACCCGTGGCGTCTGTGGTGCCTGAGGTGCCTGAGGTGTCTCCATATCACGCTCATCTCTCTTGCTCCCACACCCAGGCCTCACACACACACAGCAGGCGTCCGAGACAGGCGCATGCGCCCCATGTATTCACGGCCCGCCCAATGACAGATCAGGAATCCGAAACACCAAAGGCAGATTAAATACCCTCTCTCATGCTGCTTTGCTTGTTCGTGCCAACGACGAGCAGCAGACACAACAGGCACTGCGCAGACACTGCGGACACCGGGAATAGATCCTGGGCGCATTGTGGCGCTGTGTAGTGCAACGTGTGGCATGGTGTAGTGTAGGGTGGTGTGAAGGCTTCGCACGCATGAGCCGATCATGAGTGAATCTGCCGAGCCATGATAGAAATTTGCACACCCACGACTTCCGGGTCACGCTACGTTATGCTACGCACTGATTTCTTTCACGACGCCGCGATACCACGACACTGCGCGACACCGCTCGACATCCCAGGACACCCCACCACGACACCCCATGACACCCAGCGAAACCCCAGGACTTCCCACAGCACCCCTGGGCAGCCGGACACACCACGACACTGCACACCACAACAGCACCACGACAAGACGACAGCCCACGACATCCCACGACACCAGGGACCGCTTGGCGCAGGAGACTAAAGATTGTTTCCCGCGCTCCACCCGAACGGTATGGTGATTGTGGGGTGGTTCCCCCCCAAATATCCTACCCTCCTCGATTCTTCTGTCCAGTGTAGCACCTGTCCACCGCACGTGCTACCCGAATATCCCTCTCACTCTGTGCCACTTTCGTCTCTCGGGGCATATTGGTCTAGTTCTCTCTCTTTCTCCCTCTGCCACTCTCCGACTCTCTCTCTTGTTTTGTTTTCTCTCTCTCTCTCTCTCTGTATCTCTCTGCCTCGCTCTCTCTCGCCCGTCTGTGTTTATACATCTATGCATGCTGACATACCTGTAGACCAACAAGTAAGTATAGACCTATCTCTCCCACTTATTATTATGATTATTATTATTATTATCTCTCTCTCGTAGTCTTTTGTTTGTCCTCTCTCTCTCTATATATATTCCTCTCTCTGTCGCTCTCCAGGAACGCGGAAACACCTCCAAGACGTCCTCCATCAGACCCTTGGTAGGCTAAACATACGAATTCCACTAAGATGTGTCCCGCTGTCCGCGATCTTCTGTCAAAGACCGCTCCACTTGCTCTTTTCGACTGGGCCCCCACATTGCCCCGAGAGCGCCCCAAGCTGGCCCAATAGGGCCTCCGGAAGGACCAGTTTACAGTCTGAGAGAACCCCTGGACGACCCCAGACGGCCTCACGATGGGCCCACGAGAGCCCCCCAAAACGGCCAAGCGGACCCCAAGACGTCGTAAGCGAGCCCAAAGACGGACCAAAAGGGCCCCAGAGCGCAGCAAGAGAGCAAAGAGTACCCCACGTCGGCCCGGAACACTGCCCACAGGAGCCCAGGACAGCCCCAAGATGGCCCACATCATTCCACGAGAGCTCAACAAGAAGTGTCACAGGTGCTGAGCAAGGACCGACCGTCCTGGCATTTCGATAGGCCTACCACGACATGTTCTTAGAACCCACACTTGTTATTATAACAAAAACAATGTTCGTAGAACACAAACCCGATGTGTTAGAACAAGACAGTCCGAGCCAGAACTTTTCTAAGAACCTTTCGTGCAGACCACGACAGGTTCGTAGAACATTCTTTGGTGGGACTATATAGGCGATCCAGGACGCTTCGCCACTGCTTGACGGTGACGGCCTTCTTAGAAATGCTCAATGGACCACCACAAGGAGATCCTTGCTGGCACGGTGGCAGATCTGCCGCAGGTGCCTGGATAGATGTGTGCATATGGATATACATATGTACATTTTTATGTGTATATATATATGCACCAGGAAGCGGGAACACACACACATGCACACACGCACGCGCGCATGGCTTGACTCACATGTGGAACATCCGGAGGCCACGCGCTGGACACGCATGCGGAGCTCTGGCGTATCCCAGCCATCGAGGGCCGATTGCTGGAAAGGCCTGCGGCCACAATGTGCTTCCAGCTCTCGCCCAGGCCGGCCACATCATGTGTAGCCAGCACGTACGCATACACCGCAGGCCGGCCACTCTGGTAGTTTACACATGCACATATTACCCCTCTCTCTCTCTTTCCATCTCTCTCCTTATTCCTCTCGCTCTCTATCTCTCTCTCTCGCTCCCTCTCTGCACGCCTCATGGAGCACAGCCAGTCGATGCGGCGGATACCCATCCAGTTCAGCACGTCAGGCATCATCGTCTGGCGCCCCGCCCCCCCTCGCACTCCGCGCAGCTGGTCACTCCTCGCGCTCGCTGCTGACCAAGCAGATCAGACAGCACAGTTTGACAACAACTCGCCCCTCTCCCGACCCTGGTACCTCCATCGCGAGCAGCGAACATATCCGTATCCGCGCCGTCGCGGTTTGGATTCCGCAGAATGATCCCGAAAACACGCGGCCGCACGGATACGTTCCAAGCATCCTCGAAAACACGCGCCGCATCCGCGGGGTCGCGGCACGGCCCGCATATGTTTTTCGCCCGCGACCCCAACTTCTTCTCTTCCACTACCGCCTCCGCCTCGACCCCCGCGTGAAGCAAAAGAGCCAGGCAGAGAAACGCTGGCTGCATCGCTGGCAACACATGGGCGGAATCAGCACGGTGAGGGCATACGGCATAGGAGAAGAAACCATTGACAAGAAATCCAGGGTCAGTAATCTGGTGGAACTCCAATCGCGGATAAGCTATGGGATAGCACCGCCGCCCTCATCAGATACAGAACCCTCCAGGGTTTGGAGCGCATCCTGGGCACTTTCCTTGAACAGCCCTGCCACCATAGCACTCGGGCACGCGCCCAGGTATCCTGACGGCTCCGGAGGCCTTCCTGAGGTCCCTGCGACGGGGGCACGGCGAACCCCATCCCCGACCTTGGTGCGGTTCTCGACCGGGCAGGAAAATCGAGGCCCAACTCGGAAATACACGATGGGGGCAGGGGGGTCTTCCTTCCTCGAGAGGGGCGTGCGACCGAACAGCCCCGCGAGGGTAGACCCCCGGGTTCCCCCCTTCTTTCCTGAGCGGCCTGATCTTTCGGCGGGCACCTCGGGGATCGGGTTCGAGTAGGGGGTCGACTACAGAATTGATTTGCCCCAGAATAGACTTTTCCTGTCGAATCCACAGGCAATCCGCAGAACTTTCGCAGACCTGCGGTGGACGCATTCTTGTTGAAGAGTCGACGTGCAAATCAAGCTTGGGGTAAATCAATTCTGTAGTCGATCCCCCAGTCGACGGGTGGGAGCGTTGAGCAGGGACCGACCGTCCCGGCATTCCTATAGTCCTACAACGAAATGACGAAGTGTTCGTGGAACCCAAACATGTTCTAAGAACAAAAGATGTTCTTAGAACACAAACCCGATGTGAGATAAAACAAGACAGACTCCGCCAGAAATGGTCTAAGAACATTTCGTGAAAACCGCAAAAGGTTCCTAGCACCTTGTTTGGTAGGGCTATGGGCGAGCCCGGACGCTTCGCCACTCTCTCCGACGGTGCCCCGGGAGCCCGCGGCCCGGCAGAGCCCCCCTCTCTCCGCGAGCGCCGCTCGACGGCGCTGCCGCGACGATCCCGAGGGCCTCGCGGCCGCATGGGGGACCCGCCTCGCTCCGCCGCGGCGGCGCCGCGAGACGTCGGCCGCCCGCCCCGGGGCCGGCGGGGGGCGGCCCCGCGGCGGGGCCGAGAGCCGCTGCCGCGCCCCTGCGCCCCCCGAAGACCGACAGGGCCACGGCCGGAGGCGCCAGCCTCAAAGGGGCCCTGTGACACACGAGTGAAGTAGCACAAGTAACAGGATTCCCCATGTTTTCCTACATTTTCCTCGGGATCGACGATGAATAGAGTCTGTGTGTGCGTTTTTCCCCTCCCGAAGCTTCCTCCCGGGAATCGACGATTCATTGTGTCGTTGTGTGTTTTCCCATGCTGAAGCCTTCCCGACCGGTCGGTCGGAGGAGAAGTGGGCACAGGAGCACGAGGTGGGGAGGCGTGGCGGCAACAGGCGAGCGCGAGGGGAGCGAGCACGGGCGGGCCTCCTCGGAAGGCTCGGCAGTCCCCCGGCCTTCCGAGGGGAGTTTTTGTTGCGCCTTCCCCGAAGACGCAACAAGACAACTTCTCCAAGGCGCGAGGGGCTTCGGAGAAGCCCCGCCGCCTTCGGAGGAGGCCTGCTCCCTCTCAGGGCTGAACCTAAACGGTGCTTTCCGTTTTCGTTTTGTTTTCGTTTCCCTCGCTTTTGCCTCGAATCCGCCTTTACCGCAAAACGAAGTCAAAAACGAAAACGGCCCACGAAGTCTCCAAAAACACCGATTAGGTCCAGCCCTGCTCCTTCTCACTTCCCCCCCCTTCGCTCGCCGCCGAACGTCGGAAGCAGGTTGGGCTCCCGCCCGCCCCTGGAGAGGAAGGCAGAACAACAAGCCCGCTCGATGATTGCAGCAGGAAGGCGCCGAAAGTGGATTGGAATCTCTGGGGGTCCATCGCTCCCCGAGTTTCAGCGAGGGATGGGTGGCCCCCCTGTGGGGGAACCCATCGGTGGGGTGCCGAAGAAGCCCATGGGGCGATCGACGCGCTCAGCGATCGACGACCTCCCGAGAGCGGTGGCGACGCCAGAGGGGCCCCGGGGGAGAGCGATCGACGATATCTCAGGGACCACGGCTTCCCACTCTCGGCGAGTGGCGATCTCTCGAAGTGGGGTGTCGAAGCCCATAGGGGCCCCCAAGGGGGTCACGACCCCAGCGCTGCCCCCCGAAGACTAACCACGGGCCCCCGAAGGCCAACCACGGACGGGCCCTCTCGCGCCGTGGAGGAAAAACGACGACGGAAACCTGCTTTTGGCAGCTTGTCCGCGGCGGGAGGCCTTCACGGGGCCCAGGGAATGACCCTGTCCACCACCACCACCACCATAAGTTGGAGGGGGGAGGAAGGAGGAGGAGGAGGAGCAGGGCGAGGAGGAGGAGGAGGGTGAGGAGGAGGAGGAGGAGGAGGGGGAGGAGGAGGAGGACCCCCCCCTCCAACTTATGGTGGTGGTGGAAAACACGCCCATCACCAGGGGCCGTCAACGGAACGACCCAAGATACGATGCTGACCCAGCTTTGGGCAGGCAGCGAGTGGTCCAGAGGCCCCGCACTGGACAAGCAAGCCGCTGACCCCCGCCTGCCAGGGGGCCCTACCAGGGCTCGCTCCTCCGCGCCCCCTGCCGGGTGTCTCAACAGCTCGTTTGAGGGGGAGGGGGCCGGCGGGGGGGGCAAGGCCGAAGAGCTCCCCTGCACATATCCCGCGCGAGCCGAGCGACCGGACCCCCTCGCGGACGCAACCGAGGTGCCCAGGATGCCTTCCGGGACGGCCCCAGAAGAGCTCCTACACGGCCGAGTGGCCCCAAGACGGCTCCAAGTGGCCACGGAGTCTCCCAGGGGTACTCCCGAGGGGACCTTGAAAACAACCAAAGGTGTTTGTTTTACTTGGTTTGCCTTTCTCGCATGTTCGTTCCAGGATGGGCTTCTGGGGGCTCAGGATGGCTCCAAGATCGCTCGAGGAGAGCCCCGAAGCGCTGCAAGAGAGCCCCGAACCCAAGGCCCTCAGGAGCGCCCCAAGACGGCCCAAGAGAAGAATCTTAGCTGGGACACCTGGGGAGTCCAGAGGAGGTCCCAAGAGGGCGCCGAGGTCCAAGCGGGGACCCTGACTTAGGACTTCAGTAGATTTGGACCAGCAGCCTCCGGGGTGGCACCAAGAGGGCCCCACCGTGCCCCACCGATGGCCCCCGAGAGGGCACACTCAAAGCCCCCAGTGACCCTCAAGAGCTCCGAAACGGAACCCAAGAGACCGCCAAAGGCTCCCAGTGGTCCTCAAGTTCAGCACTGTTCGCCTTTTCTGGCTCACTGTGATTATGCGTTTCCATGTCCCTTCTCTCGACTGCTCGCCTTGGAATCGCATCTGAATCGGCTTCCGGGGATACGGGAAGCGGAGAGGCTTACTTTCGCCCATCCATCTCTCGGGGGTCGGCTGAACGGCGCAAGCCTGTTGCATGGAGACATCGGAAACCAGGTGGGGTGTGTCCATATCCACCGCCTGGGACAGCTACAACATTGGATCTCAGGGGGAGACGGGCATACAACAATCTTATATATATGCAGATGTATATAAACGTTCACGAATATGAACAAATGCATGCATTCATTCATATCTACAAATATACATACATGCAGACATACATACATACACATACATGCATACGCATGCACGTATACATATACATATGTATATACAATCACATATACATATGCATATAGTTGTACCTCTACATACATGCATACGCGCAAACATACATACATACGTATGTACGTCCATACCTACATACATAGCTACATGCATGTATACGTGTACGCATGCATACATACATACATACATGCATACATACATATACACATACACACATACATGTGTATACATCCTCACACATGCACATACACGCATACATGCATGTATGCCTGCATGCATGTACACATACATATATATGTATGCATACATGCGCACATACATACATACATACATACATACGTACAAGCGTGTACGCACGCGTACATTAATACATATACACGTACACATACACATTCATAGTTTATGCGTGTATATATACATATATATATATATGTGTATGCATGTATCGGGCCATTCATACACACATACGTGCATACACATACATACAACTATACATGCATGCATGCATGCATGCATGCATGCATGCATGCATACGTACACATATGCATGCATGCAAGCATACAAACATGCATGCCTGCCTGCATACACACATACACACATACATATATGCAAGCAACCATGTGTGCACCCATACATACAAACACACATATATACACATACATACACATACACGAACATATCAACATACTCACATACATGCATACATACAGGCATACATGCGTACATACAAGCATGCCTGCATCAATACATTTGTACACACATGCAAACCTACATACATACATACATACATCACCCATACATACTTACATAGATTCATGCGTATATGCACACATCAATGCATACCGATACGTACATAACGACATGCACGCATACACACACATCCATACATACATACATACGTACATGCAGGAAGGCATGCATGGATGCATACATACATACACGCATACGTACATTCAAAAGTACATACAGACAGACATACCGACTGACAGACAAACACTCATACATACA